CATTCCAAGAATTTGAAACCACTCTTCGTCGCTCGGTGTAAAATGGAAGCCAATCCTTGCGACGTCCATCACCCACTCTCAACTCGCAACTCTCACCCAAATTTGCTTTCTTTCTTGCGCTTCTCTCTTTCTTTCTCTCTCTCTGGCGTACACTTTTCTGGTTTCTGACCCCTCTCTCTCTCTCTCTCTCTCTCTCTCTCTCTCTATATATATATATATATATATATATATATAACATAGACATAAATTTTTAATAAATATATATTCATATATTATGGAATATTGGATTAATTATATATTCCTCCAAATAAACTTTTCAAAATATAATTAGTTAATTAATTTTTATATAATAAGCTTCCCACTAAATATTTTTAATATTAATCGTATATCACTTTATTATAAATATTTTACCAATTATACATAAATAAACTTTTAAACAATTGTTATTATACTTAATTTTATTACATAATTTAATACATGTTTATTAATATTATATATATCACTTTCATTTGAATGTTTCATAAGTAAATAAAGTTATTCCTAAGTAGTTATAAATTAAGTATTACAACTAATTATTTTTTGTGTTATGTAGTAAATACAGATTTTAGGTTAGTGAACTCATCTCTTTATTGAAAACCCTGCAAGTAATATATGATCATATTCATTGCTTGTAATATTTACTGTGCCTAAATTACACTCAGAAGTAAATTTTTGTATCTATAACTCAAGAACAAGCTCATTCAGTTGGTTATCTAAAAGAAGTGATTCAAAGATTACCTGAATCCATGTTTCTCATCACACTAACAAAAAAAAGCATATATGTATAGGCAAGTTCAGATTAGTAAAGCCAAAGATCCATTAAATAACCAGAAATCCATTCAACACAACAAGTAATCAATATAGAATAACAAAAATGCAAAATCCGTTTACAGTACCCGGTGAAACCTTCGAAATTAAAAACATACTGCCCCTATACCTGCAACCAACTGTCAAAATACCTCAGCGTTTCCCTCCACCACCACCAATTTTGGGACCTGTAGCGCCCTTAGGAGCGTTACCCTTGCTTCCCGTCTTCTGTTGCCTTGACATCACTTCAGCCTTCTTTGCCTTCTTTTCGTCCTTTGTCTTTTTGATCCGTTCCTTAATTTCACTGCAAAATAATTATAAATCAAACGAGAAGCAGACCAAATATACATACTAATAATATTTATTCACGTCAGGAAAACATAGAAATGGCTATGAAAACTTAAACTAAATGTTCCAGAATAGCAAACAGGAAAACTATTAAAACTACACACACCGGAGAGCAGCTTCCCTAGCAGCATCACGAACTTCTGGTTTCTCAGCTCTTCTCTTTTGGATAACTTCCAAGGTCGCACCCACAATGGACCTGAATTACAGTTTCTTGGTGGTACGTCTTCTCTTCTTCACAGCCTCTTGGGCAATGTCCTTAACATGGTAAGGAGACATGACTATGAATTGGCTGATACTAGATATATTTTTTTCTTTCATTAAATCGACACAGAAGCATTGCGCAGGTGCAATTTTAATAGGCCGAAAATGAGTCCAAAAATATATCCAAGTAACTGATTAAACAAATTTGACTACCATGGTTTAAATATGGACCACCTACTCCTTTGAAAAATTGAGGGGCTTATCACATATCATCTTATCACATTATCCACTCAAAGAAACAAGATAAAAGACAGATCTTATTGATCAACTGACTGCCCTGTCAATAATCAAAAACCAATATCCAGTGAATTTTACCTTCTTGTGTTGCTTTCTGTACATGGCAGTCCAGGTCAGCTTCGATGGCTTCAAACGATTGTGGAAGTACCTCTTGCATTTTGAGTTGGCAAAGAGGAAAACCTAAAAAATACAGTGCAGTTAGGAGAAAGTTTTGCCATTTAGGAGAAATGTCAAGCAGGGAAATCTGATAAATTCAAATAAAAGTAGCCAACATTCACCTGAGAATCAGAACGAATAAATCTGATGCCTTTCCCAGGGTATATCTTGGCCCCACTGAAACGACAGAGTTCCGTCCTATAATGCCAGTAATTTTTTAAGTTTGAGTCAGAATCTCAACATGATTATCCAATATTTAAGTACAAAAATTCATCCTTGTCATGTGAAATAGAATAAACATTCTACACAGGAAACCAATTGCTTTAATTGCTTTTCTCTGCAATGAAAATTAACCAAAACTAAATCTCAAATGTTCAAATATTTTTATATGCATTTTCACTCTTCCACCTATGCTGATGCAAGGAGCACAAACCTGAGAACTTAAACCTAAGCCTCGCCAGGTATTCCAAGAAAATAAAATATCTTAATTTTTTGCTATCCATAACCTCAAGTGTGAAGTACCATATGATTTAAGAATGAAAATGAAGTGGGATGCAACAAGGAAACCACTGCAATTCCATTTGCATTTTCATCATAACTAATCAAAATGGAATTTTTCAGCAAATATTGCCTTAAAGAATTTAATTTAATTTCAATCATTAAGGACATTGACATCATGACTGGAGTACCGATTCCCTAATGAATTCAGATAGTAAAGCCAACCAGAGAATCCTGCTATTTGTGTATTCCCGGAATCCAACACTTTTTCTTATGTCCGTTTCCTGAACCCAAAGCTTGTAATATTCAGGTATTCATTTGAAGGAATATACTAAACTTAAAGAGAATGTCCAGGGGATCATGGAGATCACTTATGAAAAAGACAGTGTCCCCTCGAAATACCATAGAAGACCAAATAATGATCTATTAATTTTTGCCTCTTAACTAAGCTAAAATGACATATATTGATACATATAGCTACTCAAAGAGGCATTTAGAGATCTTCACCCTGCTAGGGTTTACAGGAGCCCTGTTGCAGCCTTCCAGCAGAAACAACGGCTGTCCCCTTCCTTACCAAGAAAATCGTGAAGAAGCGTCTGAAAAATTCAACATGCCTCCAAGTTATAAGAAGATTTCCGTCAAGGAAAACTTGCGGAGGCTAATGGGTATTGACTCAAGACTCGGAAGAAAGTCCCTTATTGGTTATGGCTCGTCACTATCTTCCCAATAGATTTAAGAAGTTCGTTGTTCTCAATGTGAAGGAGCTTGAAGTTCTGATGAACATAACAGAACCTACTGCCACAACGTACTAACCATAAAGAGAAATGAGATTGTCGAGCGCACAGCACTATCCAATTTGGTGGTTTTAGCAATTTTTCTTGACATTTTCAGGATTGTTTTGTTTCTAAAATTGGATGTTTTATTTTTTCTTATCATGATCTGTAAACTTTCAGGTTTAAGTTCGGAGCCTACTAGAAAATCCTTTCTTTTTTTTTGTAGAAGAATGAAAATAAAAAGAAGCATTCCGAGATAACGAAGAGGAGAAACTTACTTGAGAACCATGGATGCTACTCCGCTAGCCGCTGCTGTTGTTCCTCCTTTCTGCGGAAACCCTAGAACATAAAATAGGAGACGCAGTATATATATCGTACAATTATCGAATTAAAAAAAAGAAAATGAAAGCCCTAAAGGAAAGCCTCTGTCGTTTGCGGGTGAAGAAAATCAAACGATGCCGTTTTAATGCCTCAAAGGGGCCGGGCTTTTTGGATTTCCTTGGGCTTGAGAGAATTCAGAGATGGGTTTTAAAATAATTTGAATAATTAGGTATTTAGAATTATAAGATTAATTTGGATTTCAATGTATTTATTTGATAAATTATTAAATTAGTTTACAAAAATTAACACTTATTATAATTTATTTTTTAATTTTTTTTATTATAATTTAAGTTCTCAATTTTTTTAATTTTTTTTTTCAAACACTCATTTTTCTTTTATTTTCTAATTATTTTTAAAAAAAAAAAACTAAAATAGTTGTTTTTATATTTCCATGTTTTGAAAAATAATTCAAAAAATTGAATTTCACTAATTAATCAAATTAATAAAAATATTATGTGTATTTTTATTGTTATTAATTATTAATTTATTCAATTTGTCAAAATTATTTCTTGAGTTATTTTTAAATAATTCAAATATGGTTTAACTATTTTTTATTTTTTAATTATAAAATAGAAAAATTAAGTATTTAAAACAAATAAAAAATCTTATTATACAAAAAAAAAAAAATTAAAAACGAAACTGTAACAAATATCAAACTACGATGATTGATCTAATAATTTATCATTCTTTGAATGAGAAGAAGATATGTCGAGTTTTTTAACAATTTGTAATTATTCTAACTAAGAAACTCCGTCATTTCATGATATTCTCTTTGTTTATCACAATTAAGGGAATCTAGCCGCTTTAAGATGTTTCTTTTACTCAAAAGCGTAATAAATTCTCTGGGATCGAAGCTAATTTGATCGTTGCAGTCTTTCTAACAGATTAATAAATTAAATCATTATCGATCATACTGAATCAAATATTATAAATCAATCACCATAAACTCAAATACATCTACAAAATGATGAATTCTACATATTTAATAAAATACGAATTTGTAATTTTCAAAGTTTAATGAAATTAAAACTAGGATTTTTCATTTGATTTATTTTTCTTTTGGGCTTGGGCCATGAAAAGGAAGCCAAAAGTTTTGGATTTACACATTAGTTATTTATTTATTCATACATACATATATTATTATAATTATTGTACTTACATATAAATAAATTTATAGTTTATTGGGAAAGTTTTGAATTTTTTTTTTTTTATAAGATAACTGTTAAATAACTTTTTTTTATATTTTTTTTGCATATTTTTAAATAATAATAAAATAAAATATGATATAACTATTGAATAACTTTCAAATTATATCCATAACATGCAGCAAATTCTAGTTTTTAAACACCTTCATGTGACCCAATTTGCCTGCCTAAATTTATTTATTTTTCAAAGTTCAGCAACCCACAATGAAAGATAAAAACAAGAACATCAAATTCCTTTTCTCTTTTTCTTCACTCCATCTTCTTCCTCTTATTTTTCATCTGTTTCGGAATCTCTTCTGCCGTCTTCTAGCGCAGATGTACTTCCTTTATAACCTGAAAGATAATATTACAAAACGCTAACAATTTTATGTTCTTGAATTGGAAGATTACGTATCTAGAAAACACTAGTCTTCTACTTCTCACCCATTCACATGTTGTTGTCATACATAATAAATTTGGTTCGAGTTCAAACAGACTTTTTGCATCTAAATTTGAAGTCGACCCTAACTCAATTTAAAAAGATAAATAGATCGTAGTAGATCAATTTGATCATACAGAATTACAATGTATCTGACATCTTTGCATCTTCTTCCTTTCCATTCTAGTTGTCTCTCCATTGGAGACTAATGGCCAACCTCCAAGAAAATCACTTTGTTTCCTACCCCGAGTTAATTCCCCTCCTCTTCTACAAACCCAAAAAGATCATCTTTAATTCTCTATGGAGAGAATACCCAATAAACTCAACTAAAAAGATTAACAAAACTAAAATAAAAATTTCACCAAAAGCATAAATTAGATAAAGAAGAAAAGAGAATAGTGGAGAGAAAAGACAATGAGGAAGAAGAATAACAATTATGTACGGAGAGATCTAACAACTAGGTCTTCAAAGAGTACGTGCATGGAAGTAGGTTTTTATAGATCAGTTTGAGCATACAGAATTACAATGTATCTGACATCTTTGTATCTTCTTCCTTTCCATTCTAGTTGTCTCTCCATTGGAGACTAATGGCCAACCTCCAACAAAATCACTTTGTTTCCTACCCCGAGTTAATTCCCCTCCTCTTCTACAAACCCAAAAAGATCATCTTTAATTCTCTATGGAGAGAATACCCAATAAACTCAACTAAAAAGATTAACAAAACTAAAATAAAAATTTCACCAAAAGCATAAGTTGGATAAAGAAGAAAAGAGAATAGCGGAGAGAAGAGGCAATGAGGAAGAAGAATAACAATTATGTACAGAGAGATCTAACAACTAGGTCTTCAAAGAGTACAGGCATGGAAGTAGGTTCTTATTGATGTTAGTCGTTAGGGCATATCATCTTCCCTTGCCTCATCCCTCTCCTTCATGTAATTGTTAAGCTCGCTTAAGTCGCTCCTCTTCCCCACTTTATCTCCTCCCCTACAGCTCAACCTCTATATGACCCTTTAGCTCTTAGTTTCACCCATTCAACCTAGCCCCTGACTATCAACTCTGTTCTCCCTCAAATCTCCATTCTATTTCCACCTTTAAATTGACACCTATAATTATGCCTAAATATCAAAATAAAAACTTGAAAAAGAAAACTGACATAAATTCACATTCCAAGACACATACAGACTATAAATTTACATTCCTTTTCACAGTTGTTAAACCAAGATCTTATCCATCATAACATGAAATCCAAACTGGTAAGAATACACAGCATGAACCGGTGCATAGACAAGGAAAGTCTGTACAATTTTTCTTAAATACAGAGCCAACAAATAAATGGATATGACAGGGTGACTGTTAGTCTCATATTTGCAAGTTCATATACAAAATACATAGCAAAGTACCTCTCGATTTTGTCATAGTAATAATTACAGATCAGGAGAAAGGCAATAGCAGCACTTTTTTTTTTTCTTTGGGGGTGTAAGCTCACCACTCACCACTGTCTATACATCTTTCTTCTCTGTGGCTACTGCTTCAGATTTGCATATGGGACACACATTCTTCACAAATAGCCACTTCTTCAAGCAATCCTCATGGTATTCATGTCCACATTCAAGACTTCCTATCTTCTCTTGGTTCTTATAGTTTTCCTGTCAAATACCAGGTTCCCAGTAAATAATTCTAAAATTCCACATGCCAAGACTGTTTATAAGTTTATACCATGAGTGTTATTTTACCTGGCATATAATGCAAGAATCATGTTCCTGATCCATGGCTGGTGCTTCTTCCAAATTGATTGCACATGATAGATAAATTCTTGTTTTCAATCGACTTTGAACAGTTTCTTCTGATAAACCAGTGTTTACATTGCCAATCCGCTCACCCAATGCAAGAAGCTCCTGCAATCAAAATTCATATATGCTCAGATATAATTTTATAAACTTCCATAAAATCCGGAACATATTTAAACAAGCAGGAGACCAAAGTTAAAGGCAGTGGAGCAAAAGAAACTAGTAATTCATAACTCACCTCATAAGACATATTCTCTATGTCTAAACGCATGTCCCTGTGGTGATCAACATAATTGCCTACATCATATATGTCTGGTATCTCCAGTAGAGCAACTCCCTACAAGCATAAACCAAAGGTACCTTAATGCCAATATAAACACACAAAGAGAGGGAGGAAAGGGACACGTCATTAATAACAATCATAGACTTAATCGTAAGTATTTTACTGCCAAAAGAACTACAAAAGCTATTTGTCTCAAATGAAACTGCACATCTAGTAAATTTTTTTTAGAATGAAAAAAGGAAAACACAAGAGAGAGAGAGAGAGAGAGAGAGAGAGCATTACATCAGTTGGCATAACTCTCAGATGCGGAAGATTGTGGTGTCTTAGAGTTGTGTCGTGCACAAATCCATCCCTGTGAGGCTGATATATCCTAAAACCAGTAGGCTGAAGAGGTCCAAGATGCCTGGGCCCCATTTCCAAATTATTCTGTGAAGGATTCATCATGCCACGCGGAGCATAACTAGCTGGCACTCTATATGAAGTTGCTGCTACTTGATTGGTATGGCCTCTCACTCCTTGAATAGCTGGTGCTGAATGATGATTAAAAGTATGATGCCGGAGGTTTAGCTGGGAAGGATGTAGATAAGCTGTGGAATTCCTGTTGCTGGATGTCTCATGATACCTTGGTGCATTCATGTTTCCAGTTTCTACAGAACCAACACTGACGTTATTTCCTGCAGGAATACAAAATAAAACAGAACAAATGAATTACGATACAATAGAAAGGCCAAATATTTGAAAGGAAAAATATGAGAACAGTGAGCCTAAAAAATGAATAAGGCCATATCAGAACAAATATTGACTTGCAATGGGCAATGAAACAAGGGATGGAGAAATTACCTTGTATATAAGGGAGAGCAGGCGCCTGAGACCAAACCGAAGGACCTCCATCATTGCGATTATTGCTCAACTGTTGATCCAACCAGAGAGGGCTGGATTGTGAAAATTGCTGTCCCATATAGTTTCCTTGAACAAAACTATTATGGCTCTGTGCCAGAACAGGATCCATTGCAGTAGAACCTGATCTGTTTCTTACGCTCCTCTGAGATACTACTTCCCTAATTGGAGCGCCTGATCCTCTGTATTGAGGCAAGGTGAAAGATGCACCATCAGTTGCAGCAGCAGGCCCATCTGGATGCCTCATATTCAAAGGAGTAAAAGAAGAAGTAGAGGCTGCTAATGTACTAAAAGACTGAGAATTCCCTGGAATCCCTTCAGAATTCTTTCTTTTATATGAGCCTCTCCCATGATCCATGAAATGCGTATTTCTTTCATATTCATCTGAAGCAACTCCAACCACTCCAAAACTACTGGAAGATGGCAATTGATCAGGTGACCCATGATTTATAGGAACACCAGATAGATGAGTGGGCATATAAGGCACATAGAAATTGGACGCAGACCCAACACTCAAATCAAGATTTGAAGCAGCGTGATGATGCTGAACACCATGGTATTGTGGGATCCCATAGAACATAGCACCCTCATAATGCTCTGGTAAATGATGAGCATCGATATTACTTGTGTTCCTTGCAGCCGTCATTACTGTCTGAATATCAGGATGTGGGAAGCCTGTTACGCCCCCCAAAAAGATGCAAGGCTCAGGATGGAGATAACCCTGACCACGTTGATCCATTTCTAAATCAATCATCTGACTAGAGCATATCATACTTCTTTGTCCCATGTTGCCACTGCAGATTGTCCCTGCTTGTAAAATTTATGTCAAAATTAATCAGAGCAAAAACCACCAAACAAGTTGATATCCAATTTTGCAGAAACATTAAGGTTGGTAATTGCTTAATAAATGTCACAAGTAGGAGAGAAACGTTTACATGACAAAGTAATTGGTTGGATGAATCCATAGAAAATACGTAAATTACAAGAGGAAAAACCTTCAGCAATTTCCAGGTTGAAGCAGACATGTCATAAAAATTGACATCTCCACTTTTTTTCTGAGAGAAAAAACAAATAACACAAACAGAGGGACTTGCATTTTCAACTGACATTCTCTCAAATCCTCATACGTAAATGCTCATATGACATAAACAATCCCCCCTTCCAGATTTTATTTGACCCGTGAAAGACAAAGGAGGTTCATATTTGACATGTTGGTTTAATGGGCACTCTTTTGTAAATAAAGAGCATATAGATATTTGGAGCTTTCTAGTAAGCTTTTGTTAGAGCCCTTTCTCTTGTGCACTGAAGTGACCACCCCAGTTTCCTTCTAAACAATAAAATTCCCTTACTACAATTAAAAATCATGCTAATAAGTATAGCTTCCACTGCGGCAACTTTTTATTTCCAGAATCAAAATCCAGAAATAGTAAGAAACACAGGATCCTATCCAAATAGCCACATGAAAGCTTTTTCTTCCAAACACGACTGTGTGCAACAATGAATACAACCACTCCCGCAAATAAGAAATTCAAGAATTTCAAGCACATCCAGAGACACAAGCACGGCAACATATAATTATTCAGCCGAGCTGCTTAGTAACAAACCTCGTGCAATCAGCAGTTAAGTTCCATATAAGGTGGCATTTTCATTCAAGAAAAAGCATATTTCTGAAGTTCTATTACTAACTATTACCAACTTTAACCATCAAGAATAGAAAATAGAGATCCGAGCACGGTTGGCCAAGAAGAAATATTTCTTTTTCATCAAGCCATTCCAAACCTCACTGGTTTAAGTTCACAGGCCATGCCCAGAATCATGCGAAAAATCTCTTCCTAAGTTTCATAAGAAATAATTAAGGACCTCTTAATTTTATCTCAAACCAATAAGCCATTGACAAAGCCCCTACGCACAATAAGAAAATAACGGACACGACGAACAGAATCTCGAGATTTTACTAATTGTTGCATTACAGAATAAATATCAATTTCATGCTTTAAGGCTCACCTGAAACAACAAATATAGCTATATATTAGTTATAGAGCATGTTGAATCAAACAGATACAAAACGCAGAACCAACTCCCTAACAATAACTTCAAAACCCAAGAAAAAAGTCACATAAAACTTCATCCACTCTGAACTCATGCAACCATGGAAGAATATAAGTTCCAAGTAATTATATAAATAAAAGAGGGGAAATCCAATGAAACTGACGTTAAAAAATTATCAATTGTCAGAAACGCAAAAGAGAATATCAAAAATCTTTTACTTATCCACCTCTTTCTATAAATTCACCAGCATCCCCCGCAAGAAACGAATAAAATCCAAAATTTTCAGCAACAAAATTTGCTAATGATCATGTAAGTTTTTATTTTTTTAAAAAAACTAAAAACTATGCATAGAGATTATTAAAGATATCCAAAAAAAAATTACGTACCTTGTTATCATGAACAAATACACAACTCTCAAGTTTCACCGGTAGGTGTCCGCTTCAACAAGGATGAGCATATACCGAAAATCCCTGCAAAAAATAAACATGAAAAAACCCAATTTCCTTTAACAATCAAGCTGATCAAAGGCGATTAAGTGATCAATCTAAATTGCGATCGACCCCCCAAAAAATAAGTGCTCTGAAAACCCTAGAATCAAACCATTTAACAACAATGGCCGGACGAGAGTAACCTAAACGTCGAAAAGAACAGAGATTGGACACCGATAGAACACCAAAACGTTCAATTTGAAGGAGAACAAATACATCTACCTGATTAATTAGAGGTTTGTCAAAGGGAGAAGAGATCGGAGAGGGAAATTTAGAGAGAAATAGAGAGAAGAAGTTCTCTTTGGTTCTGGTTTTTATTTTCTTTATAGTCGATTATTTTTTATTTATTTATTATTATTTTTTTATTTTTCGCTCTCAGAAGATACACACAGCTGTGGGACCAACCCCCATTCCTAATTATAGTTTAATATTTAATTAATTATCTAATAACGATTAGTAGTTGTAAATGAGTTAAACTTTTTCTATTTTTTTTTTTAAATTATAAACTTAATCACAAATTTAATATAAAAATATAATTCTATTCAAACTCGTAGAATTATAATTCGATGCAAACTCATTTTTTTTAATAAATATATATATATATATTAAATATTTAAATAAACAATAATAATTATTTTTTCTATTTCAATTATTAATAAAAAAAATCAGAATTATATTAAAAGAATTTTAGTTTCGATATGATCTAAAGCTTAATTTAAAATTTAAAATAAATAAATAATTACCTATGAGATAAATATTTTTTTATTAAAATTGTTAATTATTTTCATTTATAAAATAAATAAATAAAAAATTCAAGATTATTTTTTTTTAAAAAAAAAAGAAAAAATATCAATAATAAAATTAAAAAATAGTTACGTTAAACAACGAAAAATATAATTATTATTTAATTTACTTGTTAAAAATATTGTAATTATGAGATATTTGATGTGTATGACCAATTAAATGCACTCAATAATTTCGTTGAATTTTAATTGTACGTCATATTTTATTCTTTAATTCTAGTTAAAAGTATTTTTTTTTCTTACGAATTATTTAGATTTTGTTAGAATAAACTATTTTATTTTGATTATAAATAAATTTAATTTGAATATATAAAATTAATTTTTAAAAAAAAATTATTTAAATTATATTTTCTAAATTATAAAATTACTGAAAAAATACAATGTCGATCATTTTAAAATAATATACAATTAGATTCACTAGAATAGTAATTTAGTTAAATAAAAAGAAAAAAAAAAAGAACATATGGAAAAATGGGTCTTATTGTTTCTATTAACTAGTCTCTTTTTCATCCTCAAATGATCCAAACCATTAATTATAGCTCCAACTAATATTGTCTTGTGACTTATATATATATATATGTAGACACACACACATAGAGAAGTGGGGAGAGAGAGAGAGAGAGAGAGAGAGAGGTGAGAGAAAAGGGAATTCCAATATTAAGGCATTAGGTTTAAAAGTTAAACCGTGTTGTAACAAACAACTCGTGTAGGAATACAAACAAATCCCACAAGAGGTACCATCTAATCATGTAGTTCAAGTTATTCTTATTGTTGTTGACCAAACAAATGACACCCACATGCCCAAAAATGTTGCCATATACTTTTGGTCATTGCTAGCACCGAGTGATATACCAAATTTCAATACACCTTCGTATCTTTTAAATGAAAAAATTCTACTTCTTCTAAACTGCTTTACATGTATTTGGTCATTATTGAATCATAGATAATGGGGTTAGCCAAGAAAGGTAGAATAAAATGGTATGTTGTGGTGTGGTGTGAAAAGGAACTTGATGAGGCTGCAAAGAATAGCCGTAGAGTAGAGGTTAAGGGGTGATTTTGAGAGAGAGAGAGAGAGAAAAAGAAATGCCAAAAGCATATTCTTAAGTCCCATGCAAGGCTTTGGACTTTGCATGTATCCATCACCGGCTCTTTTTATAAATAAATATATGTATCTATGTGTGTGTATATATGTGTATATAGAGAGAGATTATATTTGCAAGTGGGTCCTACCCTATATGATTTTTTAGCCGCAAAAACTTGGATTGAAGTAAGTGGATCCCACACTTTATAGGCAAGTTAAGAATCCCATGTGCTCTTTCTTTTATAGGTGAACGCAAATACGTCTTGTAATTTATTACCCAACAAAACCTGCTTGTTTCATGCCTACTAACCAAATTGCAGCATTTTGTTGGCCAGACATTTCCTATTCAATTCACACATCAAACTCTTGTGCAAAACAAGAGTATGTGTGGGGGTGCTACTTACTCAATCCAAAACAAAAATACTAAAGCAAATCATAATCTACTTAAAAATCTGAACTTTTTACAGATGAAAATTTTGGAACAAACAAATCCCTACCTTCTAAAATGAACCCTCTTAATATTTTACTCATTGATATGTGCCCCCCCCTTCGGCTCCATCAAATTAAGACCCACAAAATACCTTGGACTACCTTATCCAACACAAAGGTAAAGCAGAGAGAACAGAGAATCTTGTTAATTACATTCCAATTCTGGGTTAGATTTGAAAGTTTCCCCAGTAAGTGAGAAAGCAAAGCATCGGGATTCAACCAGTTCGTGCAAAAGCTATAAGAAACTTTTTGTGTTTTGGTTGCATAGAGACCCCCTCATAATGCCCCTAATGTACAAAATGCCTGTAATCTTCGAGCCCGATTAACAAGTTTAACTTTTTAAAAAGGGAATAAGGATGATTTTTGAACTAAAAGTTAACTACTCTTAAGCCACATATACTTAGATAATTAACAAGTATACAACTTGTTGAAACAAACTTCTGATAATGGGATAGGACCAGATTCTTTCCTAGGCAATGTGCTGGCTTCTGCCCAATTTTGGGAGGCTACCTGCACCGCCATCCCAAGCTTCCTCCTATACTTTTTATTATTTTTTATTCATTCATGTTTCTCCAGTGGAAAGATCGGCAACCACAACCTTCATCACCTTCCTCTGGAGAATCTATTCTAATTATGTAACTATTTATTTCCTTATCATAAAGTTTCCTAAACAGCCGAAACATAAGCGAACTGACCCAGAGACCTAATGTCATTTCAGTTAATCGGGTATCTTTTCACCAATTGATGAAACATTAATAGTTGGCATATAAATTATGAGATGCTCAATGAGATAGAATAAAATACAGTAATTTCTAAAAGGTATCGTAACTTTATCGGCTTTAATATACCCATGCACCCGCCACCCACCGCAACCCCTTCACTTTTGTCCAAACATAAAGCTTTGAGTATACAGACAAACATAAGTGTCAAACATTGAAGGAAAAGAAACACTAATAGTAAGCTGATTGCCCTCAACTGCTTACTTGCGAGCTTCAGCCTTTTTCTGTTCTTTGGCTGCCACAAAAAATAGAAAGACCATTACTACCCAATAAATGAAAAATGTTCGTATCCATGTGGGTGCATGTGCATGTGCAATTGTATCTTGCTGTGCTATCTACATTTTGCAATACAAAGTCCATGGGGGCTTGTGCAAAAGTGATGCAAAAATTGAGCAACATGAATTATGACATACCAGCTTTTTCTTCTTCTCGCTTCCTGGCAGCTTCCGCTCTTTGCTGCCGTATCAGGGCTAAGCGCTCTGTGACATAAACTTTAAGTCAAAGCAATGAACAAAATACTAGTTCTACAGAGAAAAGAGATCTCATCAAATAACAAATGGATGGAGAACTAGAGAAAAAGTGATAATGATGCCTCTTCCACATGCATAGTGGTATATAAATATTGAAAAACTAACCAATTATAGTTTAATATTAACCAATTATACTTGATGTCTCTTGTCTCTCAGTCAAACTATTTAATAAATAGTATAATCAACATCAATATGATGCAGCGCTTTCTTATTCAGCTTCAAGGTTCACATGAAATGGAAGTTGAACAATTTAGTAGAGCCAATGTCCAAAAACAAGGAAGCAGTGAACATGACACTTAAACTGGCTATCTTCTAAAGAAGAAGAATGTTATAAACAAAGCACCAAGTGGGTGCTACCCCCGTATAAAGAAAACATTACAGCTATCCAGAAGAACACCAAATGTCAATAATGATCCCAAGATCCTTCCCAGAAAAGATTGACTGACCTCTAAACAAAAAACTCAAGATCTGAAACCAATGATCTCTTATCCTACCTTGAGACCAATGATCTCTAATTCAACCCTGAAACAAATGATCTCTTACCCTACCAAAAGAAGAAATGGTTATACCAAATGGGTGCCCAAAATTTTTCTACCACTGAGTCGCTTACTGCTCAAGAGATGTTCAGGTGATTGACGATTGAATTCTGTGATCTCCTAGACTCAGGGCAGCAAAAAAGATAATTAGAGAATGAAGGCAATGCATTCTCACGAAGGCACAACAGGCAGCCATTGATGATGACTTCTCCCTCTTTTCTGTAAGTTACAACTTGTGTCATTTTGCACAAGGCTGCTTGAAAGGCAAAGAAAGCAACACAAGGCAATGCTTTTTTCTTCCACATCTACCTCCAGATAAGGTAAATATTATAAAAGCAACTTCAGATTGATAAAGAAGACAAATATAGGACTTAACAGAAAATACTCCATTCTCGAGAGGGTGTAACCAGATTGGCAGATGCAGTGGGGTCAACTTGGCAACTAGACAGCAAAGACAATGAAGCAGCTAAAAATTCCAATCATTCAAATTGCAAGTCAAATATTCCAGGAGGGTGTTGTAAAATCATCCCCACCCGAAAGATCCTTGACTAAAGCATCTTTGCTTCGAGAGAACTCAAAAAAACCCAAAACCATAACTTTGAAGGGCACATTCCCAAACCAGCTACCGTGCCAGAAATTCACCTTTCTCCCATTACCAACCCTCAAATGAACCAGTTGTAGCACCAGATTCCACTCCCACTAATCCACTCCATCAGCCTAGCGCCAAAAGTGTCTACAACCCCGCCGTTTTCCACCTGCTCCCCTCAAATTTGCTAGTTGCCTCCTTCCAGAAGTGGCCTTTACCATGCATAAATAGCAACTGCCATTTATCCGACAGTGACTTGTTCAAAACCCATCCTTTGACCTGATTCCAAGGCTCAAGTACGTACAATTACGGCTCTGATCACTTCGGATCTTTCTAGAGGCGTATTTGGTACTGCTTCCTTGATCACAGCAACAATAACGTCACCAATATGAGCATATCGGCGATTACTAGCTCCTATGATTCGGATACACATCAATTCTCGGGCCCCGCTGTTGTCTGCTACATTCAAATGGGTCTGAGGTTGAATCACATCATTTTTAAAAATCTGTTCTTTAAATGCAAAGGACGAAGTCACAAAAAAAAAAGAAATATTGTTTGTAAAAAAAAAAAGCACCTTAGGATGCTTGATTGAGTTCCAAGCCCCAAGATGATATCACCTATGCTCCTAAAAATCATCCTCATATAAAATGATATAGGAACCACCCTTTTCCTAAGTCAGAGAATACTTTGATGGGGTAAGTCTTCCACCCTTATACTTCCTCTTCCAGATAGAGAACTTTCTTTCCATCCTTGATGATTGGATCCCACACTCTGAGATCATTAAACTTCGCAACAAGAGGCAGATTGAGGTACTTGAGAGGAAAGGATGTCACTTTCCACCCTAGAATCCCAGCCAACATATCTACTACCTACATCATTCCTAAAGGAGACTATCTTATAACAGTCGAAGGTTAACTCTTAGCCCCGAGACAACCTTAAAGCAAAATCAAGACACATTTTATATTCAACATGAACTCTCTTCACAATAGAAAAAAAAAAAGATGTCCTTAGCAAATAATAAGTAGGTGATCTCCTTACGAGAAGATCCACTACCAACAACCAAACTGTAGACAAGTTTGCCTAGATTAGTCTTCAGCAACGTTCTGTGAAGAGCCTTTATAACACTAACAAAGAGGACAGAGTGCAAGAATCCCCTCGTCTTAGACCTTTAGAGGAGGGAAAGAAGTCTATACAAACCATTGATTAAGATTGCAAAGGAAGTAGATGCATCTTTTGATTCACTTGCACCACCTCTCTGATCAAGTATATGAATATAGAGCAGGGAACATGATTATAGGTTTTTTCTATATGCAATTTTACATAATATAAATCCCTCCCTTGACTTATAGATAAATTCCACCACCTTCTCAGGCAATTAAATCTGCATCAAGAATTTAGCAACCTTCCACAAATACATGTCCACTCTTCCCCATCACGTGCCGAACGACTTGCCTCAAACGTATGGAGAG